AGTTTCAGCAGCAGCTGACTTGGGGAAGCTTGGGGTTCTTAAGTTGAATCTGTATGTAAGTCAGAACTGGCGGTCAGTTTCAGCAGCGGCTGAATCTGGACGTCAGTTCCGACTTACATACAGATTCAGCTTAAGAACAGACCTACAGTCCCTATCTTGTACGTAACCCGGGGAGTGCCTGTAAACGCTTAGAATAAAAACTGCTTTCTAATGTTTTAAAAATAGATTATTGTATTCAAAGCCTCATTCATTACAATACTATATAAATACTAAGTATTATTATTAATGGTTCAAACATTTGTCAAACTACACAAGCAAGCTTATCTACTCTCCTTCTACAGGTTGCACTTCCCTTAACTGGGACACTCTGGCAGGAGCACAGATGTTCCTGGATCACAGAGTCCAGGTATAGGGAGGTTGGGCCATGGTGCAGTGGGGGCATAGAGACTTGGTCAGGAGCCAGGATGCAGAGGAGATGGCAGCGCAGCAGGCAGTTCTGGTCCCTGCGGACAGGTGGCAGTGGGGGCTGGCAGCGGCAGCTGTGGAGCTCTACCCCTGCCACAGCACTCCAGCCCCAGCAGTAGCAGCAGGGCTAGACACTGGAGCCCTAGCTGGGGGCAGCAGGACAGCACAGGACCTCCCCTGATCCAGCAAATCCCCTTGTTTGGAACCAGTCAGGGCCCCAGGGTGTCAAACTACAGGTTGGACCTCCCTTGTCCGTCAGGACATTGAATGTTTATATGTACTCAAGTCAGCAGGCGCTGATGAAGAAATTCATGCTAGGTTTACCTACAAAACTAGCTGAAGCAATCTCCAAACAGTTAGCAATTATCTTCAAGAACACATGGGGGAATGGATGAAGTCCCAAAGGATTGGATAAGGGCAAACAAAATAAGTATCTTTACAAAGAACAAATATGACCTAAGAAATTCTAGACAAATCAGCCCAATTTCAACACCTGAAAATGTACTGGAACAGATTATTGATCAATTTGTAAGAAGCCAGATGATATTAGGATTATAAAGGATGGCAAACATGGATTTTTAAAGAAAAAGCCATTCCAAACTAATTTCCTTTTTTGACAAGGTCACTGGTATAGAAGACGGAAAGGGAGCAGTAATAGTGACCTATCTTTATTTTAGTAAGGCTTTCAATAGTCCCATATGCAAACAAGAAAAATTTGGTCTGATATTAAGTGGGTGCACAACAATTGGTTGACAGACTGATAACTATGCTTTTGAGTACAATGGTTCACTTACAATGGGAGAGTGGTCAGTCTTAGGTCTGTTTATATTCATTATTTTTTATTAAAGACTTGGACAATGAAGTGGAGAATACACTTACCAAATTTGCAGATGACACCAAGTTTGAAGAGGCTGCAAGCATGTTGGAGGACAGGACTAGAATTAAAAACAACCTTAAATTGGAGAGCTGATCTAAAAATCAACAAAATTCCAATCAATACAGTTAGGTGTAAACTACTACATTCAAGAAAAATCATTCACAACTATGAAAAGGGCAGTAACTAACTAAGCAATAATACAGCTGGAAAGGATCTGCTTTCTCAGCATCAGTTCTTTCACAACACAGCAGATCTAATTATTATTTTTAAATGTCCCCATTAATTTTAGTTAAAAGCATTAAATGTGAAATTTCAACTATGTACAGTATCTGAAAAATTACTAGTATTATTAGGAAAACATTCAAATACAACATTGTGGTTGATCTTGCTGAAGATCCTTAGCTACACTGAAATATATTGGCAATAGGGGAGTTGAAACATATGCAGCACTTTAAAGGATCAGTTAATGCATAAGGCCACAGTGTCCAACCAGTTCTGAAATAACTACACTCAACTAGCAAACTAGCCACACTCAACCAGCCAAATAGCCACATGTGGCTAGCATGTTGGACACCATGGCAATAAGGTACATTCCAGCATAGTGTCTGTAGACATAAGATAGGATCTACAAGAAATTTAGGCACCTACTTCCATTGATTTCACTGGGAATTAGTCAGCTAAATACCTTTGTGAAGTCCATCCTTAGTTTATAAGACTCCTGAGAACATTAACAGGAGTTGCTAGTTAGTCAAAGGAAGGTGTTGGTGATATGAGTAATTCCTATTGCTTAGATAATGGCTAGCCAAACTTACTGACTCTCTGTGTCACATATGATGATTCTCAGAAGTTTGAGCCTTAAGACATGCACAACCTTTGATTAGGAGTTTTAGAAAATTTGTAACACCCTACTTACTGTAAAGCTGGAGATTGCTTATTTCCTAGAACTGGAAGGGACCTTGAAAGATCATCAAGTCCAGTCCCATGCTCTCACAGCAGGACCAAGTACCATCCTTGACAAATTTTTCCCCCCAAATGGCCTCCACAAGGATTGAACTCACAACCCTGGGTTTAGCAGGCCAATGCTCAAACCACTGACCTATCCCTCTTGAATCTTGTGGGTCGCCATCCTAGCTGTAAGTCTTTCAAAAACCAGCTGACATGCTGTCAAGGAAGTACAGAGGATCTGGGTCATACATTGATTTCTAAGGGCTGCATAATGTTTTGATTTTACAAACATCATAGAATAGGGCACTTCACAGTACAGTAAAACTCCAATTGTCCGGCACTCCCGATAGTCTGGCACCAACTAGAACCCGGAAGTGCTCCAGTCAGCCTGATATTTGGAGCTGCTGTGAGCCCCATGGGCACTCATGGCTGGGAAAGGAAAGGGGAGAAGAGGGGAAGGGGATTATACCCTTGTGATGGGTCTGCCGGGATCCGCACTGTGACCAGCCGGGGGGTAGGCAGGGAACAGTGCAGCGAGGGGCGAACCCTCCGCTGAGAGTTTCCGGGAGGGGAGCGGGCTCCCTACCCCCTAGACTGCAGTAGTTATCACCAAGCAGGGGGGTGAGGGGCGGCGATGTGAGACCAACCAGGCAGCACTCCAGCTGCTCTGCTCTGCAGCTTCCCCAAGTCCACCACTTGTTAGTTTCAGCATCAGCAACGGCGGACTTGGGGAAGTGGTGTGGAGCAGAGCAGCTGGGGTGCTGCTGGGTTGGTCCTGCAGTGCCGCTCCTGCTCGGCGCCCTCGCCTTGCCATTCCCCACCCACCTCCCGGACGCAGTGAGGGTTCTGGCAGACCCATCACAGCCCCCCGCCGGAATACCTCCCAATACTCCCGCATATCCGATAATCCGGCACCACCTAGGTCCCAAAAGTGTCGGATTATCAGAAGTCTACTGTAGTATGCTGTGCTGAAAATTAAAACGAGTCACACATAGTCTTCTTGAGTTGAGGATGCTTCATTTCTGGCACTTGCTTCCAGAACTCAATTGTACACAGATTTATGCATCATCTTTAGAGTTGGGTCCTCCAGGAATTCCAATAGATCCATTTAGATGTTTCTATACCATAGTTTTGAGAATCAGGCAGACATTGTTGATCACATCAAACATGAATGAGTTTACAAAAAAAGGCAAAACATATCAGATCCTGCAAGTCTTTAAACCTGTCCTGAAAGTCATTCCCATGTGATCCTCACCTGTCACCCACTTCCAGAGAAACAGAGGGTAAGGATACCATTCCTACCAATCCTAGCTAATAGAGGCTAGATCCATCCGTGGCTATCTAGCTCTTTTTTGAATCCTGTTTAAGTTCTAGCCTTGACTGCATCTTTTGGCAAGATAGAAGAATGCCTAGCAGTAGCAGTAAAAAAGCCAGGAAAACCATTAGTTTAGGTACTAAAATAGACATTTTAAGGTGTTTTGATGCAGCGAGCGCACGGTAGAGATTGGCATTAGGCATGTTAAAACGCATTTATTTAGGCAATCATGTAAACCTCTAACATTTCACAGATATTACTGGACCAGAGAGTCCTGAATCACAGAATTAAGGCTCTGATTAGGTCATGGAAGTCATGGAATCTGTGACTTTAAGAAATCTCCATGATATCTTTTTGCTTCAGCCCTGGGGCTGCAGCTGTTCGTCAGCAGGGGTGCCACAACTCTCGGCTGCAGCGGCCCTGATGTTCCGAGCTCTGGAGCTCTCCCACAGGCAATGAGAGACTCCACCATTCCTGGACCTCCAAGCTTCCAGAGCTCTGAGCCACAGCAGGGGCTCCAGAAGCCCAAACTTCCAGAGGCACCAATTGGAGTTCCTTATGGGTGGCATGTGGTCCCTAGAGCTCCAAGGAGCTCCCTGCAGTCCTGGAGCTCTAAGCTTCCATGGGCAGTAGGGATCTACAGCTGCCAGCTATTGTGAGGGGCAGCAGCCATGTGTGCTGGACCTCACCACTCCACATTGTGTCAAGGTTATTTTAGTAGGAGTCACGAACAGGTCAAGGGCTCCCATGAATTTTGGTTTACTACCCGTGACTTACCAAAAATTACCTCGACAAAAACTTAGTTGAAGTCCCAAGCCCCAGCATGCCACATTAACTCTGGGGCTACGTCTAGACTATGAGCCTCTTTCAAAAGAGAGCATCTAGACTACAAGCAGCTTTTTCGAAAAAGTAAGCAGCTTTTTCAAAAGAGTCTAGGGGCTCTTTCGCAAAAAGCATTATTCCTCGTAAAATGAGGTTTACCGTGATCGAAAAAACTGCCATGTTCTTTTGATTTACTTTTTAAAGAAAATGGCTGCAGTCTAGATGTGGGGGAAGTTTTTTCGAAAAAAGGCCACTTTTTTAGAAAAAACCCTGTAGTCTAGACACACATTAGAAGTGCCACATGTGGATTATATGCCAAAGTTTGACCATGCATGGCTTAGATCTTAAATGTCTACACAGCTATCTTTAGAGTGTTAGTGAAAGCCCCACTGGGCAGAGTCTGTTGACCCAGGCTTGGAGCTTACTCCAAAATGCTATGCAGACATGCCTACTAATATCTATAAGACTATTCCTATGTTTAAAATCAAACATGGTGCATGGTGCATGAGTGTAAGCACCTCTGAATGACAAAAGCTAGGAGGGGCAGAGCACCTAAGTCTATGCTTGTGCAATAGATACACTGAGATAAGGTTATCTATTTACAAAATGTGTTAATAAAGCTTAATAAAAGAACATTTCCCAACATAAGCAATTTTCATGCTAGACATGACATGACACAAAATTCAATATAAATTGTCAGAAACAGTTATGTCAGAGTGAACACATTTATTTTTCACCAAAATTCAGCTTCAATTAGAGATCTGATGCAGAGCAACCAGTAACTCAAGTGCCCTCTCTCTATTAAGAAAGTAACTTGACTTTGAAAATGTGCTAGCCAGCACCAACATTCACCTAATGTAGACACTAACACCTTAAAAATGAGTTCAGTGGTCATGTTTGAGTGGAATTTAATGTTGATCATGACCATATAATGTTTCTAAAAAATTGTACATTGTTGCCACAAAGTAGCAGCATGTTTTAAACAACACAAGTAAAAATTTTAAAAGAAAACCACACTTTTTCCAGATAAGACAAAGCAGTACATCAACACTTCAACAATCCTTTAGCAGCAAGTCTCAGAGACCAATATCAGCTGACTCGAGCTCCACTCTTTTTAACCCCATAACTCAAGCCCAAGTCAGTTGATCCAGTCTCTGAGACTCACTGCTATAGGTCATTTATTGCAGTACACACATACCCTTTCATGCAAAATTGTTAACTAAAGTTTGCAAACATGATCAATCTTACAGAAGCAGAATGGGCTAACAGGTAGGCAGCACCTCACAGATGTAGGTGCTTTGAAGCACAATTCAAGGATGCTCTTATCTTCCAAGTATAAGCACTGGAGGTCAAGCAATTTAACACATTCTCGTAATTCTTGTTTATTCAGGGATACTCAAATCTAGACAATAAACATAATCATTTCTACAGCCAACAACAAGCTTTGTTCCACATACTACGGGGGAAGAGAATACTTCTCCTGGAAGTTTATCAAAACCTGCTACCAATCCATTCTTAGCATTTAGGATCCATACTTTACCATCTGTGGATGTTACTGCTAGCAGAGTTTCACTCTCCAAGTCATGACCATGGAAAACAAAGGGAGTTGCATATACGCTGGAAGTAGTTTCAAATTTCCACAGTAAATTACCTCCCATATTACAGCAGTAGACAAAGCAGTCATGGGAGCCAAAAAATATTTCTTGCTTAGTTAAACTTGAGATACATGGGGATGAAAAGATCGGTCCATGTGTGGAAAACTGCCAAACCTACAAAACAGTATTAAAAAATTAATCTATTGTTGAATGTTGTTCAGGTTACCAATGATCTCTCTTATTTTAATCTTTAGGGATAAGTTGTTGACAGAAGACATCATCTGGATTCTGGCAAATGCTGTATATAACACATTGCTAGAAAATACTTGCAACATTCACAAGCTAAGTTCCACACACGTATTTTCATTAGGCAGGCACTCAGACGATAGTTTCCTGTAATGCAATGTTGTTGTACCTATGTTGGTTCCGGGATATTCCAGAGAAAAGATGGGTGAGGTAATATCTGTCACTGGACCAACTTCTGTTGGTAAGAGACAAGCTTCCAAGCTTAAACTGAAATGAAGAAGAGCTCTGAGTAAGCTTGTCTCTCTCACCAACAAAATATATTTTTTCTCTAGTTTCCTGTAAATTATTCATCTACATGAAGGTACAACTTGCCCAGGAAGGGGGAACAAAGGGAGGAGATGTTGCCTTATATATTAAAAATGTATACATTTGTATTGAGGTTAAGATGGAAATAGGAAACAAATTTGTTAAAAGTTTAAGGATAAAAGGTGGCGGGATCAAAGGTGGTGTCATGGTAGAATATTACTACAGACCACTTAACCAGGAAGAAGAGATGGATAAGCATTTTTTTAAAACAAAATAATCCAAAGCAAAGAATTTAGTAGTGATGGGGGGCTTTCACTACTCAGAATAAGGATGTTAAATACTGAATAATTGACTAGTTGATGCATTTTGATCCCAGGCTCCACCACTTTGAAACGCCAGAAGGAGCCTGATTGAAGCTGCAGCACCGCGTACAGCACAGGGTCTGGCCCCCGGCTTCCAGTGGCGCTGCCACTTTGAAGTACCCCCTCCGCTTGCTGCCTCTTTCTGATAGAGACAGCAAGGTGGGGGGAAGAAATTAATCAACTAGCACGTCAACTATCTGGTAAGTATTTGCTTATCCGATAGCTGACTAGTTCTTCACATCCCTAACTCAGACATCATATCATATAAGGAGGACAGAGATTATCTAGGTTCTTGGAATGTACTGGAGACAATTTTTATATTTTACAAGGTACAGAAAGGTGGAAGCTGTTTTAAATTTGCTTTTGACAAATAAAGAAGAACTGGTTGAAAATTTGGAAGTGGAAAGTAAAAATAATCACGAAATGGTAAAGTTGATGAATATAAGAAATGTCAGGAAGGAAATCAGCACAATAAAGGCAATACATTTCAAGAAGGCGGACTTTAGCAAACTCGGAGTCGACAGGTAGAATCCTAAAGTCTAAAGAGAAAAACAGTTCAAGAGAGTTGGCAGTTTTTCCAGAGACATTAGTAGAGGCACAAAAGCAAACTATCCCACTGCATATGAAAGATAAGTAGTATGTCAAGAGACTATACCAGCTTACCCAGGAAACTATCAATGAGCTGAAACTCAAAAGAGTCCTACAGAAAGTAGAAATTGGGTCAAATTATGAAGGATAAATATAAACAAGCATATATGGATAAAATTAGAAAGTCCAA